TGTATGAATGTCTGACGCTATATTGTCTAAGGAATCTTATTATTCTCCGGTTGCTTTGCCAAGATATTGCTGAACCCTCAGAGTTCTCAGTTATAGGGTTCTCTACTCAAAGCATTCTACGAACATGTCCCCAGAAACGGAGCACCTAAAGTCTCGCATGTCGGACCTGCCTCCAGAAATAGTGGACCAGATAATTCAACTGCTCTCTATACAGTCTCAAGTTTGCTTCGCCATCAGCTACAGGTATTTGTACAGAAGACATCAACATGTATTGGCACGAGACGAATTTGCCTTCCCCAGATATAAATCCTGCGGACTTCGGCTTCCATATCAGCTTCCTCGGGAAGCTTCCTTCAAGGAGCCATATTAACGCCGCCAACTTCTTTCTCGGCTTCAAGGACCTATAAGACTCTGCTGCTCATGCAAAAGGTTGCACCTGACCAATGACTTTGAGCCCTGGGAGAAGGACCGTAGTACTGGGCTAAATCGTACCTGCAAGTACCCCGGATTTGTGAATGTCTATCCCTGCAGTCCATTGAATATTCGAGCGATGACCTAAGTGTTGAACGTATGCCAGCATGAATAGACCGAATGGCACCGTTGCTTAGTCACAATCCAACCCGATGTGATTGTTCACCAGGAGATCTCCATATCACAAGATCAGACTTATTCGCGAGTCCGAAGCCAATGGGAGCTCACGTACAACGAGAAAACAAACGCTTGCCCAAAGATTGAGCTTTTTTTCCGGCTGTCCCAATCAATGTATGGTCCTAGGTCACGAAGTATCTGGTTCGCATAACCGATTGGAAGAATGCTGTGGCTGCAATGAGATGAAGTTAACAAAAACCGGTTTCATGTTGAAATTATACGAACTATTAATGCTGGTGAGATTTTAAGGAGTGGATGTGGGAACAAATACAGCTTATTTTACCACTAGACCACACACAAAAACCAAGGTACTTGTATGGTGCCTAGAGGCCCCATATCATAGTCCGTAGTCTGACAGTGGATACTAAGGGGTGCATTGCTTTGCTTGAGATATTGGGAGCCAGAAGGCTTGCTTAGTTCGCTTTGCCTTATGTGTTGGATCTAAATGAACCAACGAGCCAATACGGCTATGTGCATGTAGAATGGTATCAAAAGATTACTTAAAAGTCTATTTGAAGAGACTATGTCAAGAGTAAACATAGATCTGTACTGTAAATAGTACATCAGGTACCTGATACCTCCATAGTAAACACCGGCGTAGACCAGGTACCTAGTACCTGATGGGTCTAGATCCCGCTGATCCTGACCTCCGTGCACCCGTGGACCTCCGTGCTCTGCAGGATTCAAGGGAAAAAAAAAAACACACACACACACAAACAAAAAGAAGAAGCATCAAAGGAAAGAGAGAAACCTCAAGCATTTCAGAAATACTAGCTATCCAAATCGATGAGTTGATATTCTCCTGTTTCAGGCCGTGTCTAGACCGCCCGGCCCCCATCGAACTAACGGAAAATCCCCTCCCCTCTTCTGGGCTCTCCAATATATCATCTGGTGGATGTCGAAGTCTTCATCCACCGCACCCTATTTATACAATTGAATGTTATGGTCGTTGCCTCGTTGCCCTCATATAAACAACAAACCCGAAATCCCCGAACCTCACCTTCACTTGCCACATGGACTATGCCCGACACGCCCGAGCCGGATGTCTCTCATGTTGTTCACCCTGGTCCCACCATGCCATTCCCCTCCTGCAAATCCGAGTGCATTAACAGTGATGGATTAAACGTTCATGAAGACGGAGATGTGCAACGCGACTTGGGAGCATGGAATGATGGCGCTCAGACCACTGCCATTGAACATTTGGTTACACTCAAACAGGGGTTGCGGGCATCCGATACCGAGCTGTTCTGGAAACGGCTGATGGAGGACATGACATCTATAACCAAAGCTCAGTATGGGTTTGTTGCGCGGAGGGTGCACGGGAGGGAGCCCATGCCAGAGCTAGGCGGGCGGCGCCCGTCGCTTTTTGGTGCGGCTTTCTATTACAACGATGGTTATGAGACCGTTGGTTTGCAGCGAAACAGGTTTTTCGCGGGCGGGAACCCCTTACTGCATATGGACCACGAACGGCCTTGTTTGATCCCTGAGAATCTCAGCTCACTTGTATCGTTCGGCGATGATCACTTACCCTTCACCGCCGATGGTTATTTGGCGATTCCCCTCTTTTCGGCTGGAAAGTGCCTGGCGCACCTCGGGTTGATGTGGTCGAAAGATGGTCTTCGGCATAGAAATCTGTCTTGGTCCTTCCTGGAAATGATTCTCCACTCGCTCGAAGACCTGATTGTACAACGACTAGACCCAGGGGAACAAATTCTAGATGAAGTGTTAGATTCTCCAACGCCAAATATCTCAGATTTCCACAACCCCCAGACTACCGCCTTCCATGAAGCCTCTCATTTCAACGCGCACCCCCTCAAACCCTACGCCCGAAGCTTATCCCATGAGTTGAGGACACCGATGCAGGGTGTGGTGGGCATGCTTGATGTCATGCACGCTACAGTGCGCGAGGCGATGGAGAGTAAAACTCCGGTCAAATCGGGCGGGGTTTTTCAATCTCTCAAGGAGGGGATTGAGATGGTCCAGGATAGCGCGAGACGTGCTGTTGAAGCAGCTGACAATGTCGTTCATGCATACGAACTCAATATGCAAATCCCCAAAACACCACTCCGCGAGGAGCCCGAGATACTAGGCGGTCTCACAATCCCATCTACTATACCCGAAGCTCGCCCGAGCATCTTTATCGAAGGAACGAATATCGCTGTAAATCCGTACAAACGGCGGCGCAGCCTACCACCAGAAATGAATACCCGACCAGTACGCAAACAAAGACTCCGTGCGGCGTCGTCGCGGCAAGAGCTCTCGCCTCGCAGCGAAGAAGTCAAGAATGCTGTTCACGAAAGCGACCAGATCGTACATGCTATCCCAGCTCGCCAATTCGAAGCTGTAATGGCCAACATGGTCGATCCACCCCCGTCTCTCGCAGTTCGACGGTCTGCGCCTCATTTACTACTCGAGGGCATCAATGTGAACATGAGAGGTTCTGCTTTGCGTTTTACCAAACTGCGAGATCTTCTCCGTCTCGTGATTAATGAGTCTCTTCATGTTGGAGGTCGACCGGATTCTGCTGTTAGCAATGCTACGGAGTGTGGTGAAAGGATTGAGATTCGGTCGCGCTCCTCGAATGGTGAATTGTTCACCAAGGTTGTGGACTGGTCTGTTGACCCTTCATTACCGGACACCCTTCTTGCCGATGATCGTGATCTGGCAAAACTGATCTCATGCGTCTTTCTCAACGCGATTAAATTCACCAACAACGGCACCATCACTGTTTGCGCAACCATTGACCCGAAGAAAAATGATGTTCTTATTCTTGTCCGCGATACCGGCCCGGGAATTCCCGCTGCATTTCTACCAAATCTCTTCAAGCCATTTGCTCGTCAGGATGCATCCACCACAAGAAGTAAAGATGGCCTTGGTCTCGGTCTCCTTGTGGCCAAGGGCCTTTCACGGAAAATGGGCGGTGACTTGACCTGTGTGCGTTCGTCGACGTCTGGTCCTCAGCGGGGTACTGAATTTCGAATTCGAATCCCCGTAAACCAACGTGAAGCTGAACTCCGCCCCGCAACTCCTGGTGAGAGTGTTTTGACGCCATCTACTACCGACCAAACACGACAGGGTAGTGTCAGCAGCCTTTTGTCTGATCCCTCCTCTTGCTTCAACTCCCCGTTCATCCTCCCCCAAAACTGTCAGCTACAACAGCCGACTCCGAGTACCACCGATGAAAACATGTCTCAAAGCCCAACCCCCCTGCGACCGACCCGTTTGCACAGAACACATATCTCCGGCGATGCATATGACAAGAAGCTTGGGGAGAAATATCCGCTGCGGATTCTCGTTGCCGAAGACAATCGAATCAACCGGCGCGTACTAGTGAACATGCTACGCAAACTTGGTTACCGGGATGTACTCGAGGCGGCCGATGGCAAAGAAGCTGTCCAGATAGTTCAAGGCATTTTATCCGCGTCAAAGCCCTCCCTTGACATTGGTCTCGATCCAGTACACGCAATGCAGGGCGTCATCCATGAGCCACCTCTGGCTACAAAAATACAGCCGATTGATGTCGTCTTGATGGATCTTTGGATGCCTGAAATGGACGGATATGAAGCCACCTCACGAATTCTCCAGATGGTCGACAACCACCGGGGCCAACATGCTGCTTTCGAGCAACCGAACCCCAACAGCCCTGACACCATGGAAATGGATCCCATCCCCAACAGGTTTTGTACGCCACCACCACCTCCCACTGTTCTTGCTGTCAGTGCCGACGTTAGCGACGAGGCATTGAATCGCGCTTCTAGAGTGGGAATCAAAGGCTATATGACAAAACCCTACAAACTCTCTGACCTTGAACGGTTGATTCTTGAATTCTGCGGTGGTACTGGCAACCCCGTTCTCTAAATTCCAGGATGACCACCTGACCTATCTGAACATGATATTGCTTTCTTCTTGGATTTCCCCGTCAAGACCATTATATACCCATTGGATGCGGATCTTTTCTTCTTCATGTACAAACCCCCAATTGTTTTCTTTCCTTTCGTCCGATAACCTCTCAGGTTCGGATATGCACTGACTCGGTGGCCTATTCATTTTCAACTGCCATATACCATAATTGTCATTTTTTTGCCCCCCTTTATGTTTATTATCCCCATTTCGGATACAATGATTGATGATACATCGCAAGCGATCACTGCACACTACATAGCGTCATTCAATGAAGATGTGGTAGAGAGATACCGAGACTTCGGTCCCAGCCCTGATGTTTCCAGTCTAGGCAGTCTTATAACTAAACTTATAAACCAGCACCTAAATCGAGGATTTTTGATCATGCTGTACTATTCTTCTCTTCTATATGAAACTATGGTCACCACCCCCCCATATCGGCCTAGGCTGCTCTATTCGCAAAGAGTGAAATCGACCAACCCTACATCAGGAACAGTCTCCTGCGGGAGGCAGAACTTGACGTTTTCCCCTTTAAGATGCTTGAAGGCCCGAGAGTACTCAGCCTATTTGAAAACAATTAGCAGTTTCCCTCTACATATAGTCCTTTGACAGGGAGAACAAACCTCAATGATATCCACAAACTCATCATATACGTTCTCTGCCTTCATCTTCTGACGAACAAAATCGGTCACTCCCCCCAAAATTGCAACTACCGTGGTGACCTTGCTGTCCCAAGTAAGAAGGGCAGAAACTCCAGTTCCATCAACGCGAGTGGATTCAGTGCTGCCATAGATATCTGGAGAGTTCTTCAATTAGCATCATACCAACTGCACCGCATTGATATCTTGAAGGGTGTCACTGACTCTGCATTTTCTTGCTAATAACCATATTTCTCCACCAGGCGAGTCCGACAGACTTGTCGAACAAGATTGTCGGGAATACACTATACGGCGTAATGACGTCTAGTTCCTGGACAGTTTGGTTCGAGATGGAGGGGATACCGGCGTTTGAGATATAGCCGGTTACATCGCCAGTGGAGGGATCGGTGATGTTGTTAATGGAAGCGAACATGCCAGGCAATTTCGTGGCGACGGAGTTGCAGGTCCGAACTCGCTCGGCGTTCTTAAATACGCGGCTGAGGGAAACTGTTAGTATATGACAGTTTGACTCTTTCTTCTGCTTGAAGCCTTACCGGATAATGTCGATGTCATAGTAGGGCATCTGCATTACTTTCCAGGTTTCGTGGCTGGAGAACCAAAATCCTGTCTCAGAATTTAGTCACTGTCTTCTCATCTTTCCTTCGACATTCACGAACCCTTTTGGACAGTGATAGGTCCATAATCTCCCATTTCGTAGTCCACGCTTACCAGCTGAGGTTTCTTGATCTCCCATAAAGCCTTCTTGTCGGCTTTCGATAGACCGCCGAAGAATTGTAGCCAAAAAGTAAAAATCTCGCCTTCGAAAGGATCGTCGAGTAGATTCTTTCCCTCGCATGGATACGACTGATCTGGGTGGTTGACAGGGAGGGACTGGTCTTTCATTTCAATGACGGCACAAACCCGGCCATTACCTTTGTAAAAGATCTGATCAACACGGAAGATGAGCGAACTGGTCAAAACCGAGGATGAGACTGTGAAAGACGTACCTTTGCAGCAGTGGTCTTAGTGTAGTCCATCCAAACCTGCCATTTCTGCGCGAGCTCCCGATAGTTCTTATTACCCGTGTTCTCAAGGGCTTGAATGAAACCATACACAGCCCATACAAGTTCACTAGACAGATATCTATTGTTAACCCAGAAACCAGAACGAGGATCAAGAATCTACACACCCGTTATCAAGAGAAGGCACGCGGTTAACCCAGTCCGATCTTGGAGTTATCTCTTGAGTATCCGCTGAGACCCAGGGCAAGAAGCCTCCGAAGCCTGGGTAAGTCTCGTTGAATTTGAGATAAGTCTGTAACTTCTTTTGCATGATAGAAGCAGCAATTTTGGGGGCTTCTGCTGTATTCTCAGGCGAGAGGAACCGAGCAGCCTCTGGAGAGCCTGCAACAGCATGGGTATACAGCATGATTTGAAGGGACTATTGGAACATGAGCTGAGGTTTCCAGAAAATGGGGAAAATGAACACAAACCTCTTTGCTAGCGGCACTGAACGTGTGCCTGTCTGTTGCCTCCCCGGTCACCCAGTCGATGTTGGTGCCATCATAGGAGATGCCGTTGTTGCTGTTGTATGAGATGTTGTTCTGATGGAATTTGCCCTCCCAATACAGCATGTCATTGATGAAGGAAGTAGGATCATGGAGAACCTGCTTTTGGGAATAGTGATGCGCGAAACGACATGAGGGCTCATTGGTATATCCGGATGTCGATGGCAGGGCCTTGACCAGTGTTGTCCATGTCAAGACATGACCTAATTTCTCGTGGAAACGCATATCGGGATTGTTCAAACAAAATGATTGAATAACGAGCTGGGCTAGACATGGAAATGGAGATTTTGATCATATAAATATCATATACCTCCGGTTTGAAGCGCGAAGTGCATATTTACCCGGTCTTCCATGTCCACGAATTATATCATTTCAGAAGTCTCTGGGGTCCCCGCATTCCAAGAGCTCTCCTCTGAAAATGGCGGTAAAATCTGATAATGGGCTGAAGGTGCACGCCACCTATAAACTTTTGCCCGTTTAGCCCGTGGCCATGCACATCTATTTCCACTATAGGATGAGATCTTCAACGGGGATTGTCATGGGGGCCAGTTACCCGAAGGAATCGGAGAATCGGGGAATTATAGATCGGGGAATCTCAGAATGTTCCTCAGCCGTTGATCACCTACTTGATTCAGACAATAGTTACTTCCTAAGTGAAACATGTTTCTAGAGATTCTTTCATTTGTAATTATACTATCTAATTCTGTTACTTTATATACACCCGCTTGACACATAGCACCATGAAGCTTTATTCATAACAAGCGTCGCAAAGTGTCTGAGGCTTTCGAGTCTAAGCGTGTCAGTATATCAAGGAGCACAGACAGATCGTTACGCGCTCGAGCCGACAGAGGGGATGCTTCATGCTGATCGATAATTTCAAGCAAACAAGCTCCTATGAGTCTGATTTTTTCTACCTTGATGGTCATTAGAATTTGCTCATTTGCCAACTAAAGACAGTAGAAGAAATGGGAAGACTTACACATGGTTCGCCGTTGACCTGCAACGCCCAAAAAGGAGCATCGCGAATGACTCGCAGAAGATCACGCGCAATGTCAGTTTTCCGCAGTAGCAGCATTTCATTTGGCGCGGGAGGATAGTAATTAAACTCTTCGAATTTCTGTGTGATTACCATCTTAAGACAGTGCAACGAGACGTAGACATTGGCTGCTTGAATGATATGCAGTCTCGTGAGTCTAGACAGGCCTTGGTTGTCTTTATTCGCATTTGACATGAGCTGATCATATTGTAAGAAAGAAGGCAAATCATCTAGAGACGTTGCAAAAAGCACGTAAAGATGGTCAAGCCTGTGACTTTCCTCTGTCGTGGGAGGTTGACGAGGAAGTAAATTCCCATTTTTGTAACTGTCTAACAGTCGCATCTCTAAAAGCAAATCGGATGCACTTTGCCAGAGCCGGATGTTTGCATTGAATCCTGCAATGAAACTCTTTTGAGTACTCTCAGCATCATGAACAGCACTACCTGGTGTCAGGATTGTCTCATCTTCGATGCCTGTGGGATAGCCGATGGTGATGCCAGAGTTGAATGAATATTTGTGGATAGTGATCGGACGATTGTTTAGAATGGCTGCCGATTTATCGCCGATATAGGCAATCCAAAATGCCCGTCGGCGAAACTCCACTTCGAGAGAAGTGAGCCCCTGCAGGGAATCTTCTTCGTGCATTTGCATCACTTGGGCCAATCGGGTAGCTTCCCCAAATATGTGCCATGACAATCGCGGCTTGCCGGCAGCGTGCATGCAGTTGGAATGGAAATATCGAATGGCGACCGAGTTGGCATTTGGGTATTCAAGATCAGCTTCCAAATATGTAGCCAAGCAATTTCTGGAGGCTTGTAGAAATATGTCTGCGATTCCCTCTCCCTCGGGAAAGATGTCCTTCGGAAGAAGAAAGGCCGCTTCTGCGCAGACAGCAGTGATCAAAGTGAAAGAAAGATCCGGCCACAGCTCTGGATATTTGAGACTATTCACGCCATATATGAGGCCATCAGCTCTCGAATTCCTTCCTTGGGTCACGAAGAACCCCAACCCATCTCGGAGACTAGGTTCATGAACAAGTGGAGTCAAGGGATATAGATATTCGAAGAATAGCTCGAAGCAATGGTTGATAGTACGCTCTAGATGTTCTGATGACCTCTGAACGGAAATCACCCGCTCCAAAGCATGCCATCGCTGTAAGGCCGAGGTAATTCTCGTTGAGGCGACATCGGAAATAGATGATTGAACTGTATGCACGGTCTCAGGAGATAGAGCAGGATCAAGCACCGAGAGATCGGTATCCCATGCATCTAGTGGAACTGCAACGGGTGCAGTCGAACTGAGATTTTGAGTTACAGAGCCATGTTCCGATACCTGCAAGGTTGATGCCAGGGGACTATCTAGGACATTCGGATAAACCACATCGTGTGACCTTTGTCGCTTGGATTTGGGTCCGCGTCTGGCAATCGGCACGTCAAATGTGCATTGCGTCCGAGCCAAGCGGCAGTTGGTGCATATTGACGATTCACCCGAGCAGTCGCACTATGGAATAATTTAGTTTGAACACGATAAGACGGATTTTTGCCTCATACCTTTGCTTTTCTCCGACGGCACCGATCGCATGCTCTAGTTGATGAGCGCGAACGAGCAGGGCTAGCCATCACATCTCTCGGGAAAACTCGTCGGAGGTTGGGAAATGGGAACGGGGGGATGTGCCTCGGTCAAATACTTCACGCATTTCTCCGGATTTCTTGGCTTGGGGTATTCCCGAAGCTTAATTAATTAATTCCTTCATTTATTACGTTTTTGTGGATGTTGATATATACAATGTACAAATTTGAAGTAGATTTCGAGGTCAATTGTATAATATCTAACTCATGGTTGTTCACAGTGTGCCCTAGGCTCATCAAAAGCTGTCTCATTACTCTATTGGGACCCAGAAGCGCTGCCATCCATGCGTTCATCGAACATTTCTTTCAGCAGCAACGCAGATTGTTTTGGAGTTCTTTTCAGGGTGTCATAATCGGTGAAGGTGACACCGAAGCGAACCCCGTATCCATCGGACCATTCTGGAAGAAGACTTAGCTTAGATATCTGAAAGAATGAAGCAAGAGACATACCCAAGTTGTCCATCAATGACCAGGCAAAGTAACCTTTGATATCGGAATTATCCTCTGTGCGTGCTCTTCCGACCGCATCAAGATGATCTCTGAAGTATTGGATTCGGTAGGTATCGTTGACAGCTTCTTCGCATGTCATCTTCTCCTCGCCAGGACATGGGCACCCGTTCTCTGTGATATAGATGGGCTTGCCATATGTACGATATACTCGCGTCAGGTGCTTTCGGAAAAGCTCTGGGGTTGACCGAAGCCAATGAACACCACTTTCATCTCCGACTGACACGCCTTGCTTGTTTTCTTGTAGCTCATCCACATTCCCCATGAAGTCCGTCTCAAGCGCAGGCTCGTCACGGTGCCGGGCAAATTGGGAGGTGTAATAGTTCATTCCGTAGAAGTCCATGTCAGCCTCTCTAAGTAGAGCAAAGTCTGACTCTGTGAAGCTAGGGAGCCTCTCGCCGAGTTGCTCTCTCATGCATTCGGGGTAGTCCTGTGCTAGACTGTCAAAGGTGTCAGTAGTCTCCTTCTCTTGGTGCTGTCTGAAAGCTAAACAAAAACCTACCAAACGGGGTTCGCAAACCACCCAATATGGAACTGCATTCGGCGCTCAGCAGCTTGCTGGTCGCGCTCATCCTGACTATCCCAGGGTTCGTAGTAATCGCCATTCAGAGAAATCCCGATCTTGCCTTGTTGAGAAGCTCGGAACTTTTGGTTATACAAAGCGACCGCTCGAGCGTGGCTCATGATCAAGGCTTTTCCGACAACCCATGGCTCTGTGGTAGTATCGCCTTGGGTGGACTGGGGATTTATACTGCTTCTTCCGGGCGCATTTCCGCCAGTGGCGTATCCCTAAACAATGTGTTAGTTGTTGTCGGAAATGGAAAAGGTCCAGGGGAGTTGGGCAACCATACAAAGATAGAAACAATCCACGGCTCATTCAGTGTGATCCAATTCTTGACTCGATCTCCAAAACTCTCATAACAAATTTGTGCATACCGCTCAAAGTCAAGCTGCGACTCCTCCACATTCAACCAACCCCCGTACCTGTCATGGATGGCCTGAGGAAGGTCCCAATGGTAGAGAGTGACCCATGGTGTGATGCCTCGGGCAAGCAAGGAATCAATGAGTTTGTTATAAAATGCGATGCCAGATTCGCTGATTGGGTCATTTCTTCCTCCTAGCGGAATGATCCGCGACCAGGAAATTGAGAATCGGTATGCTTTTGCGCCGTACTTGGAGAGAAGGTCGAAATCCTCCTCAAATCGGTGGTAGTGGTCACAAGCTATGTCTCCATTGGCCCCCTTGGTCCGTGTAGGTTCAAGATGGCAGAAAGTATCCCAGATTGATTGTCCGCGCCCATCTTCATTCACAGCTCCTTCAATTTGATATGAGGCTGTTGCAAATCCCCATTCAAAATCGGGAGGTAAAGATCCTGACATACTGGCAATGCTCAACACAGAACCACAGAAAAAGTGTGAAGTATTTTGAGAGAGAAGAAGGTGACAGGGCTTACCCAGCAGAACCCAAAGCTATATTCCTCATAGTCGGAGAATTGTGGCGTCGAAGTGGAGGGGGATATCCCGAAGGATTAACGGCAAAATTGACATTTCGCCGATTCTCCGAATCTCCAGACTTTCTCTTCACATTTTCCCCCACGGGGCAATTCCCCGCAGAATTGCGGAATCAAGATTTCTCCCAGACATTTAGGGCTGTCGGAATGCATAGACTTCGTTGTCTCCACCTGGCTTCCTCTTCTATAAGAAGTGCAAGGAAGCCTTCGGGCTAAGACCTCCCATCTTTCGATCATAGGCAAGCTCACTTCATTTGCCTCCTCGTCTCAGTTGAAGTCTGCAATAATGGCTCCTGCTGCTGCCCATGCCGCTGAAGGCATTGTCTCGTCCATTGATGTGAACTCCATGCCGCCTTTCTGGCGACGGAAGAATGGCATTTTGTTATACTTTCTGCTCACTTCGTCCCTATTAGCAAGTGCGGCTCTCGGCATTGATGGAGTGAGTTCCAATATTTCAAGACTGGTGTCCTTTTTACTGACAATACATTGCAGTCCATGACAAATGGCATGCAAGTCTTGGAGTCCTGGCAAGATCGATTTGGAC